CTACCCAATGTGCAATGCTACAAATAAGGAAATGAATGGGAAAAGGCTGATTCAAAATGGAGGTAAGGAAGATAAATGTAAGAAAGCAACCTCTTGTCAGAGGAAGAGCTATGAGCCAGTGGAACAAGCTTGAGAAGTATAGGTCTAAGAGAAAAAAGGAAGGGCAGTTAAGGGGTTGGGATTGTTGATGGGGAGACCCTGGCCATTCTCTTTATGGAATCACCCTTTGAATTTCAGCCAGGTGTCCAGAGTAGCTATGAAATCAACACCAACAGGCACAGCAGTGATGAGCTACAGAGCATTCCATCCAAAGCATCCACTTTCCAAAACCATGAGTCATGCTTCAAGAGTGAGGACTTCATCCAAATCACTAAACTTTGCTTTTCAGGGGCAGAACAAGTGGCCACCAGGTTGCAATCAATCACATGCAATGGGAGTAGTAAGGGACTGACAAAGATCCATCACAACTGGATTTCTTAAAGCAGGATTTAAGAAAAAAAAAATTAGCAAAGTCCCTTAGGGAGCTTTAACTGTGACCAATCATTAGGTGGCTATGTTATCCTGGCCTGAATTAAATAAAAATTCATGAATGGCTCAATACAAGAGGCTACACCAAAGTTTTACAGAGTCTTTTTATTAAGCATCAGTACCCTTTGAAGGGATGTGGGTGAAAAATGTGCGCAGCCCCAGAGGCATCTATGTGGGGCGGTGAATTGAGCACTGGGCCTAGAGGCAGAAAGACCTGAGTTCAAATTTAGCCTCACTAGTGTGTGACCCTAGGCAAGTCACTTAAATTTCTGTCTGCCTCAATTACTCCATCTGTAAAATGAATATAATAATAGCACTCACACTTATTATGATGATCAAGGGGGATAATATGGTAAAGTGCTGAGCACAGTGCCTCCCTTAGCAAGGGGGAGGCTCAGAAATTATTTCTAACTTGACAAAAGAAAACATACTATTTTTAAGTCTTAAGTGTGCTTCAGGAAATTATTTCACAACAAAATTTCTCTTAGTATGAGAAAAAGTAAGTCTTTCATGAGTATTTTAGTACAACAAAAGAATTATGGAAGAGAATATATATGTATATATACCTATGGCAAGGAGGGACTACAGATAAGTCCCTTAACTTCTATGTAATGAGAGTAACTTTCTAAGATTATAAGATTTATTTCACTTTACCTGAAATCTCATCACCTTGCTGATTGACTCAATTTTTGATGCTCAACACCTTCCCAATTCCCCTGGTTGCCTCTCTCCTTTAACTCCAGGGTCTACCATGAAACTCCTCCCATAGCCTTCTTTATGGAGGGCTCAGGACATTCAGAGCTTTCCAGGTAATTCAGTTTTCCATCAATGACTCGACTTGGTTTAGACTCCTTGGAACATCACCTGGTACCCCTTGGGGGCCCTCTCCCCTTTTCAGCTTCCTTTTGTGGACTTTCTTCTGGCATTTGATTGTAAGTGTCATGAGGGCCAGAACTATCTTTTTCTTATTTTAATGTGTGTGTGTGTGTGTGTGTGTGTGCGTGTGTCTGTGTGTCTGTGTCCCAGTATGAAAACTTCCTCTCCTGATGCAGATTGGCAAATCATTTGTAATCTATGGTCTTAGAAAGTTGCCTAGGGCATTGAAAGGTTTAAGTAACTTAACTTACTTCATACAGATAGTATTTGCCAGAAGTAAAATTTAAATTCAAATCTTCCAGGCTATCTACCTACCTACTTATCTATTTACCTACCAATCTATCCAAATATCCATTAATTCATCCATCCACATGAAAAAAGATCAAGCAGAATGAGTGTCTGTTCAGATTACATTGTGTAGTCAACCTGTAGAACCTGTCTGTAAATATGCATATTTGGTAGAAGGACAAGTAGACAAGGAGATGGAACCAGATTTAAAGGTGAAAATGAGGGCTAGCTTCTTCTTTAAACAAAAGGCCCAGACAAAGAAAGTCATGGAAGAGCAACATCTAGGGATATGAATCCACATGTTCTGATTCTTCTCTCAAGTTCCTTCTTCTACATCTACCTCACACAACGACCTCCAACACATATAGTCTGTTTCTAGGCTTGTAAGTGAAATCTTTTTAGCCTGGTAAGACTAGAGTTTGTGCTCCAACAAAATAGCTCTGAAGAATCCAGGACCAACCCTACACTATAATGAGACATCAGGGTCTTGGATCGTAAGATACGATTTATGGCTAAAAAGACCTTGGAGGAGTAGGGTGTATGTATGTGTGTATATGTGTGTGTAGAATATATATAGTATGAATTACAGAGTGTTCTGGTATCCAACTCAATTTCCTGCACATAGTAGGCTTCTTGTAATATTTTGTTACTACCATACCACTTCTGTAAATTTCCAAATATATCACACTTGGTAATCTCAAGCTTTTCAATTGTACTACCCAAATATGTGTTTGATATTCAAAAGAAAAAATTTTTAAAAATGTCTTACACTTTGTATTTTATGCTTTTCTTCTCCAGTTAGCAAACTGAAGATCTCGGTATTACACAAATATTAATGAAGTTTTACTGGGGAAATGACCTCAAGACAATTCTGGTGTTTTGATTGGATTCCATATTTCCTACTCTATCTTCAGCCTCGTAGATAAACCCTGGAGCATGCAAGCAAGTCTGTCATTAAAGATAAAAAATTTTTGAAGAGGAAAGGTTATTAAAATTTTTAATCCATGATGTACACCTTTCATAGTTAAAAAAAAAATTCATCACATCTGATTTCAATACCAATAGGAAAGCTCTGTGTCCAAGTTTACAAGGGTACTAAAGCTCTAACTCTGCTTTGAATCATCACTGTACTTGTCAACATCCCTGTAATGTGCAAAACATCATATCCTTTGTGACAAATTAAATCATAAAGCTCTTCCTTGTGTGCCCGAGTCTTTCTGTTAGCACTGCCCCTGGCCTTTTGACTTCTGCTAGTTGACATCATAAAATAAAGCCCTCTGAATGATATTTATTTTCAGAAACAAACATCACTGCAAAGTACTTAGTAATAGTGTAGTATATGTACTGAAGAGACAGACTCAAGGGAATCCAAATATTTTATTGCACAGTGGATATTATTACCATTGTACCTGTCTATTGCTATATTTAAGCCATTCTCAATATTTCTTTTCAAATCATACGCTGTCTACAAAAGCCACAATGATGGTACACCTGCATATTACCTACAGGAATCACAACAGTAAATATTCTGTCTTACCCCTTGTCAGAACTGTCTAAGGCTCCAGACATATGTCATATATTTCAAGAATGAACATGTTTCTGTTGTTTACAATTTAATAAAGATAAAACCATGACAAATATCATAGGCTATAAATAAAGACATTGACTATTGTACTGTGCCATTCATCACAGGGATGAACAAATGTTAATTATAGAGAATCTGAAAATGAGACTTGTTAATGTCATTTTTAATTTAGAATGTTACATTGTAAATGTTTTCCATTGTGTTAATTTACACCTGTTATCTCTGTCTTCATTATTAGGCTTATACTAGAGCAGCTCTCTGTGACTCTGAAATTTGCTTAAAACGGCAGAAACAATTACTAATTAGAAGGGCATGTTTACTTTAATTATATTTATTTCCTAGTCTAGTTTTATATGTAATGGCACTATAGAAGTGTATGATTTAATTAGTAAGACACATTTATCTCAGGCAATTTCTCAAATGAATATTGCTTTAAAAAAGATGTCAAATTCTTTCCATTCTCCATAAATTCTTTAGGTGATATTTTACATGGAGAATGCTGTATATATGTAGATCATTTCATCAATGACCTTGGTATTTTTTAAATTTTAGTTTGGGAATTTATAATGATTAGAAATTATCAAAATTATATATAGTATATACATATATAAGTATAATATATAAAATAAAATTATAATATATAATTAGAAATTATCAAAATTATATTTCATTTTTAATTAAAAGGATTTAAAGATAAGATTTAAATCACTGTGTACCAAATTCTTCAGAATGAAAAAACTCAAACTCAACACAAGTGTTTAACCTATTCATCTGGGTCCAAGCTAATATGGATTTTTTATACATTGACATTCAGGGTCAAAACTGAATTCCATATTAGAAACCCATCTTTTAAATACACAAACCAAGTTCTATTTGTGATTTTTCAAAAAAAAAAGCTCATTTATACATCCTGTGCAATTATTTTGCCTGTATTGAACATAATACAATTGAGTGAATTTTTAAAAAAAATATTGTTATTGGCACATGACTCTTGAACAATTAAAAATAGCCTAAATACAATTCTTTCCATACAGATTTGTAAATAACAAATTAGTGTGCTAGTCTGAATGCAAGGTGCCTGTATTTTAGTATTGTTAAGTGTCAGCACCATTGAGTGCAGAAGGCTTTTTAGTCATCTCGCGAACTCATTACTCAAAATATTCCTGTGAAATACATTTCAGCCGCCTGCTTGCCCACAGCTTGTAGGCCCCAGAAGGAAACTCTTGGCATAGAACACTCAAGAAACTTGCTCAGGGACCGACAAATCAAATACTACCAACCCTGATTATGGTTGCCTTGCTTGCTTTATCCATTTTATGTGCTTAAAAAAAAAAAAAGATGATTACTGTATATTCTGTGACATTATTTTTACTAGTGAAAACACATTTTGTTTTACTCACCACACATCAATAAGTGTAGCATTTTTTTTTTTACCAGAACTAGTAGAAATCCCCAGGAATCCTGAAAAACAAAGCCCCACCTCATTCCCCCAAGCTATTAGCAAGTTTACATTACCACTCCATTCTGCCACATGCAGATCAGTTTGACAGCCTCCACTAATTTAAATACTGCAGTCAATGCTGACAGCCTGTTCAAGGTGGCTGAGCAGTTGTGGTTTGACTAATGTGAATTAACGGCAAGCCTACATTTCCTCAGAAGGAAGCCTTAAAAGCAAGGTTGTGTGAGATGCAGGTTTCTCTTTCTCCTTTCCTCATCCAAGAAAGAAGAGCTGCAGTTTTTGCTCCCTAGTGAATGGGCCCAGCTTTCAGGTAACCTGTCTTATATTTAGGTATGCCGACAGGAAAACAATTAAAATACAGGGAAAACAAAGATGGTGAAAAATATTTTTTAAAAAATTAAGTTTGACTTTGCTTTAAGGGGGTACCTACATTTTACTCTCTGAGAAAATGCCATTACAGTCACATTTCAAATAAGCTAAATTGTGCCATTTTTAGTCAATAGATGGTAATGCATATTGTTGTTTGTACATTTTTTTTCCTCCTCTAGTGTGGATGAGGGTCTAAGAAATTAAGTGGATGATAGAAAAGAAACCTGGAAATCTAAATGGAGCAGATGAAATCAATCAATAGGGCATCAAGCTTGCTAGAGAGACCAGAACAAAAACATTTTTAATGCACTCTTTGGATAGTACACACTGCCATGAATGGAGAATATTACAGAAGGTCTGACCTAAACGGCAAGTCCATCAAAGTATTAGAACAGCCTCTTTCAATTACAGTTCCCCAAAGACATGGCAATACACTTGCTATTTTGGAAAGCTAACTTTCCTTTAGAAAATGAAAGAATGCGGGAGGCGATATGTGTTATGAGAAACATGAGAGGCTGCAAGTGAGGCAGATTAGCCAGAACGACCCACATCCTTATGCAAAGCTGTCAAAAGTTAAAATGAGGCAACCTGCATGGTTCAACCCACTGTTAAAAGCGCTTACCTCCTCTTTCCAGAGAGTCTTGGGGTGGAAGCTAAATGCTTTCATAACTGTGAGGAAACTATTAACAGTGATAATGCAAATTTTTTTGGGGGGGAGGGGCTGTTTCTTAAAGAAGGGGTGAGCCAAGATGTGACATGGTTATTGAACCTGGTTAAGTTTCAGCAAAAGTAACCATTCCAGCTCCAGTTACTAAGGAACCACAGTAATTAGATTGCGATCTTTCCAACACTGTGGGAGAGGTATGATCAATTAAAGCCAAGATCAGTTACATTATTTGGTTTACCTAAGTAATAGACCCTTAAATGTAATCAATACTTCTCATGGCCCTGAATCCTCAAGACCTTGGATGTATTCAACAAAGCAGTTAAATAGATTTTCAAATGATTCCAAGAATTTAAAATCAAATGATTAGGCCTGAACCTGGAGGGTGGGGGAATGTGTTTTTTTTTTTTTTTGGTAAGTTTGCTATACTATATTATAAATATTTACTCAATCATTTTTTTCATCATGTGCATGTGACATCCGGTGCCAAATGCCAATTTCTGTGTAAATTAAATTGTTTTGTAGTGCTCCAATACAAGGTCATAAAGGTGTCTATTATTTTCACACTAAAATGTTGGTTCTGTAGCCCTTTTGATGTGGGAAAGATTAACACTGTCTTCCTCTTAGTGCATACTGTTTGGGCTTTATTGGAGGGGGAAGGCATTGATCAGTGTTATTGTTGAATAAAACCCTATGGGTCTTTAAAAAATGAATGAGGTTAGTTATTGGTCATGAAGAAAGGGAGAAATCTCACTAGTTGTAACAATAAGGACTCTTCCCACACCATAAATACAGGAAGAAGGGCCAGGGCATAGATAGGACCATACCATAGACGTAGAGCTTGAAATGATTTCAGAGACCTTGCAGTCCACCTCCCTCATTTTGCAGGAGAAGAAGATGAGACCCAGAAGACTGATGACTTACCCAAGGTAACATCAGAGTAAACATCAGAGGCAGACTTTGCTCCCAGGTCCTCTGACTCCAGAAGCAATATTTATGTGTGTGTGTATAATAATGTATGCATGCATATATGTATATATATATGTATATGTACATGTGTATATATACATATGAGAGACAGACAGATTGCATCTCCTTATCTCATCCTGGCCAAAAGGGCAGTGGCTATTTACCATCTGGGTCCCATAGTGATTAGCATGAGAATTTTGAAATGCTCTATTTCCCCCAGGGCTGATTGGACCCTCCTTTGACAACCTAGTGATTCTGTTCCTGAGGGCTCATTATGTTAAAGTCAAATTTGCTACAGAAACCAATCGGCTTAGCTTCACTGCAGCTCAGAACTCTGCATCTCCAGCCTCAGTCTTCCCTTCCACAGGGATTACAGGCCTGTGCTATCACCACACCTGGCTTTCTGCCTTTCACACTTCCTACATCTGACTAAACTGCTCCCATCCGGGCCCATCCCAGTCTAGAATAGATTCATAAGAATTGTTCCCAAATACACTGGGCTTCCAGGGGTCATCTAATAGTAGGACCAAGACCTAGTGGGCCCAGGGGACATAGGAGACTTCAGTGGATCAGTTTATCAATACGTTTCTCTTGAAATCAAAGTGTACTTCCAAAAGGAGTTTCTAAAACCTGGAAAGACTTATGTGAACTGATGCAAAGTGAAACAACCAGAACCAGGAGAACATTGTACCCAGTAACAGCAATACTGTACAATGATCAACTGCAAATGACGTAGCTATTCTCAGCAATACAATGATCCAAGACAATTCCAAAGGGCTCATGATGACAAATAGTATCCACCCTCAGAGAAAGAACTGATGGAGTCTGAATGCAGATTGCAGCATATTATTTTTCCTTTCCTTTATTTTTTCCATGTGTTTTTTGAAGGGGATCTATGTTTTCTTTCACAACACAACTATGATTGCAGATGTATAACCTGTATCAAATTGCTTACTGTCTCAGGGAGAGGAAAGGGGAAAAGGGAGAGAGGGAGAGAGAGAATTTTGGTTCTCAAAAAATTTGTTGAAAATTGTTTTTACCTGTAATGGGGAAAAAATAAAATATTATTTAAAAAAAAACAAAAGGAGTTTCTAAAACTATTTCTGATGACACAAAATGTTTCTCAAAGGGTCAGGAAAAGTAATGACATATAGGTTGGAAAAAGGAAGGATTCTTTGCCAGACCTACCCTTTTTTGCTTCCATAGTACATATAATGTTTGTCTGTATGCCATGGTATGTCAAATGTAATATGATTTTTAAAATATGTTTTTTAGTATACTAGCTATCATTATTAAGCTATGGAAATTCATTCTTAAATTTTTTTTAAAAAGTTGCTGAAATATTTTAGAAAACGATCCAGGACATTTGGTGCTGGATTTGGAACTAGGGGACCTGAGTTCAGAGTCTGACTGACCTTGAATGGCAACCTGAGTGATCACATAATCTCTTTGAGTTTGAGATGACTCATCTGCAAAATAAGAGTCTTGAATTAGAAGATCCTAAAATCCCTTCCTGCCCTAAATCTGTGATCCTATGTAGCATGAGATAAAGTGTAGAATAATGACGATAATATAGTTAGCATTTATATTATATTTATATAGCCCCTTTAAGATTTACAAAACACTTTACATTTTTATCTCATTTGATGCTCACAACAACCCGGTGAAGCAGGTGCTATTATCCCAGTTTGACAGATGAAGAAACTGAGTCTGGCAGAAGCTAAGTGACTTGCCCAAAAAGGTCACAGAGCCAGCAAGAATCTAAGGCAGGATTTGAACCTAGGTCTTCCTAACTCCAGGTCCAACACTCTATCCACTACACATCGTTTTAATATTATACTTAGGACAAAATGGGTTTTATATTTCTCTGCCACAATAGTGGGGAGCAGTAGCTCAGATAATTTCAAATAATGAATAATTAAAAGATCATACACATATATCTATTTCTCTGCCACAATAGTGGGGAGCAGTAGTTCAGATAATTTCAAATAATGAATAATTAAAAGATCATACACATATATCTATTTCTCTGCCACAATAGTGGGGAGCAATAGCTCAGATAATTTCAAACAATGGATAATTAAAAGATCATACACATATATTTCTATATCTATAATTTATAATAGATTGCTTTATGTTATATTATATATAAATTTTATATCATATATTTCTATTGTTGAAAGGAAAATTCTTCATTTGGACTTTTCACCTTGATTAACAAGGCAAAACTCATGACAGAGAGAATTAAGAGGAGTTAGTTCTAAGTACATCAAGGTCACAACATGCTGACAGGTTGATCACTGAAGATCAGCAATAGCTTCAAGGCGGGGTCAGTTTTTATAAGTAACTTTAAGACAATCCGGAGAGGTCCATCGCAGCAAAAGAGGTTGGGCCCTTGCAACTCAGTTGCTCCCCAAGGTAGCAAGAATGTGATAATTTGCAGGTAGGGGTACAGAGGTCACAGGTAGGTATGACTTGGCTAGTGACCAGTATCAGGGAACTGGGTGATGTCTCCCCCAACACTTATTGACAAGCAGGGCTGGAAACAATGAACTGAGTCAACATAACTTTCGATATTATTATGAATTTTATATGTACTTATAAATATTTGTTCCATTTGCTAAATTGTTTTATTTTAAAGCTAATTTGCTTTCTCTTAACACCAATATCAAAATACAGCCCTTGGGCATTTAAAACTCTTCCCAGGCTGGCCTCTTTATATTTTTCTAGTCTTCTCACATACATAGCCTGTGTTCTGACATCTTGGTCTACTGGTCCCTCATATATGACATTCCTCCTGTCTTTATACCTTTGCACTGGCTGCTGCCCATGCCTGGAATGCATTCCTTCCCAACCTCCCAAATCTCTGTTTTCCTTTAAGGCTGTTTAAGAGCTACCTCCTCCAGGAGGCCTTACCTGGTCCTTCCAATTGCTACTGTCCTCACCTCTAAAGTTGCCTTCCACCTACTTCATATTTGAGCTGGAGAAGGAAATGGCAAACCACTCCAGTATCTCTGCCAAGAAAACCCCAAATAGGGTCACAGAGAGTAGAACACGACTGAAAAATGACTTAACACACACTCCATATTTATCATACCTGTACTAATTTATATATGTTGACTCTCCCATTTGAATGTAAGAGCCTAGAGGGCAGAGACTATTTTTGCTTCCTCTTTCTATCCCCAGTGCTCCTCACAGTACCTGGCTCATAGTGAGAACTTAAAAAATGCTTTTTGATGGATTATTCCTTAAGTTCACAGCACCTGAGTTCCTGCTGGGTATAAATGTACTTATTGGCATAGTACGTCAAATTTTGTCATTTTCAGTTAATTGAGAATTAACTGTAACAACAAACATCTGACTATTCAAAGTGTCAGTCTCTTCTTGGCATTGAGAGAGGCATGCTATTTTAAGGCACATCAGAAATTTGAGTGTAACAGTGACTTGAAATTATTTTCTTCTTCAATTGTGTAAATGCTTCAAGAGCAACACCCCACAGGGATGCTAATTGGTGCTCTCCTTTGTGTATCCAGCTTACAATTCCTCTAGCCAAATGGGCTGCCAATACCAGACACCTCTGGTGTAGATGAACCAATTAAGTATTCCACCATGAATCCCTGCCTTATGGGCCCCTCTTTCTCATCTGCTTGACCCCATTATAGGATTAATAGCAAGGAAGCATTCAGTGAGAATTGGGAAGAATCTGGAACAGTGGAAGGTGAGTTTATGAATAAAATGAAAAGCCCAAAATTCAGAAATAGGGTTTCTAGGGCTTTTAAGCTATAGCCACTTGCTTCGGTTCATCTGATACTGCAGCTTCTCTGGATCTCAGCTAATTCCAATTCCATTTCCCTTGCCAATATAGTTCTACTATTCACATGAGCTTTTTTTTTTTTTTTAAAAAAAGGAGCCTCTCATTTCTAAAACTGCTAGAAACTGACATACTCCAGATTCCTTAATATCTGAAAAACTTCTAAAGCATCATTTCTTAAAGTTATGTGTTTCCCCCCTTCTTCACAAAAAGGGTTATTAAGATTCAGGGATTGCAACAGCCATTTGGCTCTTTTCCACTTTGATGAACATAGTTTCATATGCCTTCTCATACGCATCACCTCTAGCCCAATGGTCTACCTTTTAATTCTATATTCATTAGAGGGATAAACTGAATTGAATTTGATGATCCATGAGCTTCTAATGGCTCTGTATGTACTGAGAGCAAAAATCTAAGCATCCCTGACCATCATCCTTAATAGTTCACAGAACAAGAATGAACTTCAGAAGTCATCTAATTTAATCCTTTCATTTTACAGATGATGAAACTGAGGCCCAAGGAGCTTAAGAGATTTGCCTGAGATCACATAAGTAATAAGCATCATCGGTGGGATTTGAACCCAAGTTCTCTGATGCGAGAGGCATTCTTTTCACTATATGACACTATTTCCTGTTTTTCCTTGTCCACTTGCTGTCTTTCCAAGAATATTTCTAATACTATTACAATATTTATCATTAAAATTTCATTTGATCACAACATCTCAATATTAGAGAGGCCTTTGATCACTTAGTCTAACTTTCCATACAAAGCAAGAATCCCAAAGATTGCCTCACTGACAAATTACCTAACAAGAGGAAGACATGAGGTTAGATAATAGTAGAGTTAGATAGATTCAGAAATTTAAAAATGATTAGTCCCAAATAATTGCTATTAACAGGTTGATATCAATTTAGAGCACCCTAGGGATGTGTCTTTGGCCTTTGTTTTTCAACACATTTATCAGCGACATGGATGAGGACATAGACTGCACACTCATCATATCTGCAGATGACAGGAAACTGGGAGGAATATGTTTGATGCCAAAATCAGTATTCAAAGACATCTCAACAGGCTAGTTCTACCACTAACTACCCGTGGGACTTTGAACAAGTTAGTTAATATCAGTGAACTTCAGTTTTCTTATCTATAAATTCATAGGATTAGATTAGATGAGCTCTAATCTTCTGTGATAGTTCAAAAGACCTAGAACCTAGAGCCCATAAGTCTCACAGCAATCTACTTCTACCCAAGAAAAATCGGTGTTGCTTGTTTTCTTCTCTAAGATTTCTGCCTTGCTACTTACTGGAAACTTTCATGTCCCATGCATAGATAGATAGGTAGGTAGGTAGGTAGATAGATAGATAGATAGATAGATAGATAGATAGAGAGAGAGAGAGAGAGAGAGAGAGATAGAGAGATCTGTCTGGGTTTCCCCACAGTGCCACTAGCAACAGCCAAGACATAGGGTGTCCTTGACTGTTACAATGATGGAAAACCAACTCTATTCATCTGAGTCAGAATCACCTCTGCCTCACTCTCCAAATCCATGACTTTCTGCTGCCTCAAGAAGTGGCCCTGGCATAGAGGTGAATGTAAAAGTGTGCAAATCTCTGTGGGGAAATGGATGTGCCAAGTCTGAAGTCCTCTATGGAGATTTATCATTTATCTCTTCCTCCTCTGGTCATTGCTTAAAGCCCAGTGTACAACAACTAACCAGGGTTTATGTCTCCCTCATTATGCCTATCATCCCACTTTCCTGCTCCTGGGTGTTTCATTTTATTTTATTTTTTTAGGCTTGAGCCTAGTACCATGACAAAAGGCTAATTACATTATGAATCACTGGTCAGTCTGACACACAGGCCCCCACTCCCATCCCCAGTGCCGTAACTGCTGTTAAAGACAGAGACAGGCCCCTCCCAACTCTAGATCTTATGGTCCTATGAACAATGAGATTAATACGAAAAAATTCATCATAAACATGTTTACACACATGTATATAGTATTGGCCTGCTAGCAGATTGTACATCTGGTATACAAGGACCAGTCTTCTCTAATTTTAGAGAGGCTGATCACCAGATTAGCTGCAAAGTGATGAATTTTCAACTACAATAACTCTTGAACACCATTTAGTTTTCAGGAAAGGGGCTATAATCCACAGCACTAGAATAAATAAATAAATATAAACAGATAGGCAGATAGATAAATAGATAACTCAATCAATCTTGTTAGGACCTACTTAAGCTTATGCTCCACTGGCAAGGCTTTTGAGAGCCAAAGGCCACCTCTATAATAAGTGAGGTATCACAGAAAGGCTTTAAAATGGAAGAAGATATAATGTAATCAGGATAAGTATAAATTATTATATCCAGATTCAAAAGATCAATGTAAAAGTACAGGATAAGTGATGGCAAGACAGTTCATACAACAAATAACATGGGGTTTTAGTGGACTGTAAGCTCAATATGTATCAACAGGGACATGGTATCCTACAAAGCTAAGGTACTCTAGAATGTTTTGAGATAGAATATCCATGAGCAAGGGAGATAATAGTTTCACTCTATTCTACCTTGGTAGGACCTCATCTGAAGTATTTTGGTCAATTCTGGGCACCATATTTTAAGAAGGACATTGAAAAGTTGGGGCATTCCAGAAGTGAGTATACTGGAGATTATGCTACATTGGCATAATTTGGTCATGTTTGGCTTAGAGAAAGCTTGAGGTGACAATGGTAATTGTCTTTTGAAGGGTTATCATCAGAAAAGACATCCAATTTTTTCTACTTAGCTCCAGAGGATATAACTAGGATCAGTGAGTGGTAGGTATAGTTTAAGAGACTTGATGTGAAGAATACCCTAACAATTAGAGCCATCCAAAAGTGGAATGGGCGGCCACGAAGAGTGCTGGGTTCCTAGTCACTCGAAATTTTTTTTTAGGCAATTGGGGTTAAGTGACTTGCCCAGGGTCACACAGCTAGTAAGTGTCAAGTGTTTGGTCTGGGGTCAGATTTGAACTCAGGTCCTCCTGGCTTCAGGACTGGTGCTCTATTCACTGCGCCACCTAGCTGCCCCTTAGTCACTAGAGATCTTTAAGGGGAGGTTGGATATCATTTGTTGGAGATGTCATAGGGAGGATTTTTGTTCAGGCATTGAAGTAGATGACCTCTAAGGTCCCTTGTAACTCTGAATTCTGTGACCTCCAGTGACGGGGAGCTCACTAGAATACAGGGCAGGTTATGATACATAGCTTTAACATTAAAAGTTCTGTATTTTGCTCTGTCTTGCTACAACTGTCTCCTTGTACTAGTTCTACCCTCTAGAGCTATGCAGAATAACTTGAGACAGCTTTTACAGCAAAATAAGTCAATTTCTCTCCCACTTGACACGTCAAATATACGAAAAGTTACATCATTTTTGAAGTTCTGACTTTTCACCATTCTAATTACCTTCCACTGGTCATTCTTCAGTTTGTCAACGTTTCTCTGAAAATGTAGCCCCCCAAAATAAACTCATCTCTAATGCAGGGCTGAGTGGAACTGTTACGTCCTTTGCTACAGATGTTATGCTTCTGTTAATACAGCCTAAAACTACATTAGCTTTTTTTGACAGGTACATCATATTATTGGATCCTCAAAGCATCATAGATTTGAGCTTGCAATCAACTAAAATTCTCAGGTGTTTGATTTTTCCCCACAATCTACTGCTCAGCAATTTAATTGAACATTTATTATGAATCTAACGTATACAAATTTAAATTAAAAAGATTGCTGCCATTATGGAACTTACAATTTGGTAGAAGGGTAAGAAAGGTATGACACACACAGCAGGTAGGTGGCACAGTAGATAGAGTGCCAGGCCTGGAATTAGGAAGACTCCTCTTCCTGAGTTCAAATCTGGCTTCAGACACTCACTAGCTGTGTGACCCTGGGCAAGTCACTTAACCCTGTTTGCCTCATTTCCTCAAACCACTCCTGTATCTTTGAAAACCCCAAATGGGGTCACAAAGAGTTGGGCACAACTGAAAAACAACTAAAAAAATTCAACATGACACACAAAACTAATACATCAGGGAGGTATAAAACAAATTGATACACGAACTATGAAGGGGGAGAAAGACAATGTGGTTGACTGGAAGAAAACGACAACAGCAACAACAGGTTTGGAATCAGGAGACTTTGGTTTGAATTCTGGCTCTACTAATTGTATAACATTGGTCAAGTTGTTTAATGTTTCTTGGGCTCAGTTTTTTCATCTATAAAATTGGAGTTGAACTATAATTTCTGATTAGCCTTCCAGTTTGATATCTGTGATCCCTTGAAATGTCATTACCAACTAGGAAGATGAAAAATAACTTCATGGAAGAGAAGAAGAAAGAGGACACCCTGGACATAAGTGACTGCACAGTTTCCCCTCCCCCTTACTTGTGCAGATGATTTTTTTAACCTAAATGGAAGACTTTATATTTACCCCTATTAAGTTTCATCTTCTTACTCTCAGGCTGTTTGCCAGCTATTAGTTGAGAAAATTGGGCTAGATAAATAATCTTTAAGGTACCTTCCAGCTCTAACATTTGATGATTCAATGATTCTTGGGTGAGTTTTATTTATCACTTCTTACTTGTCAGTTAGAATTATGTCCAAAGTAGGAATTTCCTCCATTTCTCCCTCTATCTACTGAGAGAGAAATTCTCATAAGTGATGATGCTCTGCTTTCAGCAGAATGATAAATTCTCCATCACCACAATACCTTACCCCATGCCACTTTTAGAACCAATATTGCAAAAGCAGTATCCATATTCTTCATCTATCTAAGTGGTTTACAGCAATATCATATCTCAGTGATGAAAGTAATAGATCGTGTGCCCCCAAGTTTCTTCTGGCATGATTATATCATCCCATATTTCTTTTTCATATGAATAAGCAGAAGTAGCTAGCAGTTGCATTTGATGAATCTTAGCAGGCTCTTTGTAATACACACTCAAGGAAGACAGCATGTATCTTGATTCTCTTGATTAACTAATTCAACTTTACAGCCCACTGCCTCCATAACCTTTACTTAGCGGAGAGTCACCAACCAAAATGAAACAACTCTTCTTCCTGGGGCTGGTAATGGTATTTTTGTATCTACTTTCTCTGGTGAATACTCTCCATTATTCTGTTCTAAGGCAGTGTTTCATCTTCAAAAAGTCCTAATTCACTTTCTGTGGGGGAAAAGATTATAGCTTCAGTAGTAAAGAATTTTTTCTCTGATTTCCATTCTTTTGCTGGATGGCCCAATGGATAGAATATTGAGCCTGGAGTCAGAAAGACCCAAATTCAAATCTGGCCTCAGACCTTAATTCCAAAGTGACTATGGGTAAGTCATTTAACTGCTATTTGCCTTTGTTTGTCAACTATAAAATTGGGATAATACTAGGACTTAACCTCCTAGGGCTGTGGTGAGGATGAAATGAGATAATATTTATAAAAATTTTAGAGCAGTGCCTGGTATATAGTAGGTGATTAATAAATCCTCTTTCCTTTCTCCTTCCCTCCACTTTTAATT